CAAATAAATAATTAAATTAAATATATATATAAAAAAGAAATCATCAACAGTACGAATATTGCTGGAGGGAGAATTAGATAAAAATAGTGTTTCATTGATAAATCTGAGGAACTGTGCGTTACTTCGACTGCATGAAAGCCAGAAGCTGGCCTTCGTGATAACAATACGTTTTGCAACCAAAGATGAAAAGCCTTCCCCGAGCACCCCGTGAAAATCTTGTTTCTACTCCCTCTGGCTTCTGTTCCAACAAGTCTAGGCAAGTATCAAGTGATAAATCCCTTTGCAAATAAAGCCGCAGGACTGGGCAGGTTTAAGGAGTATCAAATACACAGAGAGCAAAGCAGGGTGCACATTTCAAATACACATCTTCAGAAAAGCCACAGCTGGGCAGTGACTTCTGGCAACGTGGCCAGTTTGTCGGATACTGGCCTGATATTAATCAGCCTTGTGGTCTGCACTTGTTCCTGAGCCAGTGTGCTGCTGATACTCTTCGAGGTAGCTTCCTGACTTTCAAATCAACTCTTGCTTCGTTTAGTTACATATTATATTTTGCTTGGACCCACTGCGAACGTGTCACAATGAGCAAGAATAGGACGAGGTACCAAGCCCAAATAGAATATGAGTTACCATGAAATGTAAGTGGCAGGTTGCGAGCTACGTAACGTATCTGCCGTGCTGGAGTCTGAATGACAACTCAGGTCACATCACTCCGTGGCTCAGGACTGGCCTGTGGCTTCCATCACACTGAGGATAAATCCAGTGTCTTACTAGAGCCTGCGAGGTCCTATGGGGTCTGAACCCTGGATGCCTTGGCCCCCTTGCGTCCTGGCCCTCTCTCCCACACAGCGCTCCAGCCACCTCCTTAACTCCACGAACACATAATCACAGGGGCTGTCTCTTGTCTTTTCCTGGCCTCAGACCCTCATTGCTGAGATATTGCCTGGTTTATTCCATTTCATTGTTCCCTGGTCCTTGCCCAGAGAACCCTCCTACTCCTCTGCAAAGAGTCTGCTCACTCGCTACCAATCACATAACCCTGTTATCAACCGCATAGCCCATCTCTACCTGAAATTATGCTTATGTATTTGTGCATTTACTTCCTGAGTGTGACAACCGCCTCCGCCCACATTTTCCAGGTGAAGCCTCATGAGATCAGAGACTTTGCCAGTCTTCTTTACTTTAGTTGCCCCAGCACCTAGAGAAGGCTAACTCCCAGCCCCGTATTGGGTGCTCAGTAAATAATGTTTAGCCATTGAATGAAGAGTGAAAGGAAAGAGGAAAAGGAAAAACGCACAAATGTATGCTTGAAAAAAACTGTTCTTGTTGGTTTTGCTTTTGTTTTGCACTTTTGTGTGTTCTTTTTAAAATATAACTGCTTTATTGAGCTATAATTCACATACCATGCCACTCGCCCATTTTGAGTGTACAATTCGATGGCGTTTAGTAGATTCAGAGTTGTACAAACTGTCAGCATGATCGATTTTAGAACATTTTCATCACCCCAAAAAGAGATCCCACATCCTTAGCAGTCACTTCCCCTATCCCCCCACTCTCCACCCCCAGTCCCAGGCAACCACCAAAAACTACTTCCTGTCTCTACCTATCATTTCCAAGCTCTTATAGTACCTGTTTGAATGAGGACACATGCAGACGCTACAGGACCCCTGGATGGCGTTCCCATAGTGACCCTCTCTGCAGCGCTCACAGTGTTCTCCCGCAGTGTTGTGCTGGCAGTTCTTGGGACAGATGAACATATAATTAATAGCAGCCAATTACATTTATTATTACTAACATCATTATCACCTTCATTACTCACACAATTATAACTCAAGTCCTCTGACTCTGTACGATGATATCAGTCCATGAATGGTATATTTTTTCCTGTCTATCCAATTATTGTTGGTGCTAAAAAAAAATATAAGTGCCCTTCCATCAGCTATTTGGTGCTTGCATCGGGAGGATGAAATGGAGGATCCAAACTCACGCCAATGTTTCATAGCTGTGCTCTCTTGGGCAAGAATCTTCACCTCTCTGAGCCTCCGTGTTTTTTACAAATCAGTTTTATAGATGTATGATTTACATACATCTATAAAATGATAGCAAAGGATGAAGGGCAAAGAATGCTAATTCTCTTAAGATGTATAGCTGAAATAATACCCACATTCCAAGGTTGCTGGGAGCATTTTAAAAAGTATACTAGAGCCTCAGCAAAATGTACACCCCCTCCCTCTCCCCCTAAGAATACCTTCTATGGAAAATTAGCTTGATATTGCTTCGTAATTCACTTAATGGTGATATACTAAAGAGGAATATAGTTGCAGTAAGTTTTTAATATGTGGAATTTGTTAAAACAATGAAAAGCTGCACCGTATCTGAAGAAAGCCCTCAGTTTAATTCCAGTGTCACAAACAAGCAAGATAAGTTTATCTATGTTGTATGTTTACATAAATCCAATTATTTTCATGTCAGAGTCAAAGTCTGTTGAAAGTTGTTCTTCAATAAAGCATTGAGATGAGACAACTTTTCAACCGAGCAGTCCAATGACACAAATCCCAGCAAACTGTATCAAATTTATTTTGTGGAATTTTTAGCCCTGTGTGACATTTCTTGGTTTTACTCTAGTGATAAATATCTAAATGAACAAAACTATCCAGGAAAACTCCCCTTACTATGGGCATTTGAAAATGCGGAGATACTCTGTGTTCATTATATGGCCTGGAATAAGTATAATATTTTAAAAATTGCTCATAAATCTTACCTCTGTATGTAGAGATGGGGCTTGGTAGGAAACTTTAATGGATGTGAGTTTTCAATAATATCTGAAGCCAGGTTGTGAAAAACAACCCACACGTATATCCTAAGTGGGTGTGGCCCTGCTCAGAATGTGAAGCTGTCCCTTTCTCATCATGTCATCAGTTTCTTTAGCTTAAACAGATCCATCCTTCACAAACCTTTGAATAATGGCCAATTACACAAGCCACTAAGATGTTAAGAGATCTTTTCATATCTTTTCTAGATATGAAATCGTGCTATACACACAAGGGAGGCTGCTCACCCATTAACATGGGATCATCACCAGAAAGCTCATCCCCGCCCTGAATCCTTCCCTCTTTCCCCAAATGTCCCCACCGTGGAGGTTTCTCCTGTAGGCCTGGAGGCTAGGAACAAATCCACGCTGCAAGTGCAGATCCACAGAGGGGTCTCTCCTTCACCTTCACCTTGCTCCACTGTCCTCACTTGCTCACAAAACAGTCATTCTTTTGAACCAATTATTTACCTCTCCACTTTAGTTTCCTTTGTTTTTAACTCTAAATGGCAATCTTAAGGAAGAATATAGCTGCTGAATAGATATATGTTAATCCTATATCTATTTAATTCTGAGCTGATAACATTGGGACCCAGCAAGGACGTGGAGAAACAAGAATTGAGATGTGGCCATCTGTGACCTACCGGAAACGCCCTGAACTCTGGTCCTCCTCAGGAGTGGGGAGAGGACTGTAGAAAGGAGTGAGAACCTGTGTTGCTTGATAAGGTCCCATAAGAGTGTCTGAAATACCCCCACCCTCAGTTGAGAGCATCTACCCTGGAAGATGTCTTTCTCAGTCCTGCAAATTTGAGACATCTGCCTATCAAGTTTCCTTGTGGTTTACTGCAAATGGATGATTGGATAGATAGATGAATTAATGAATGAGTCTACATCCACTCCCACAGCATGTGCTCTCCTAGCTCCATCTGACACCAAACATCCACTGGGCATTTACTATGTGTCCACCCATGCTAAGTACCAGGGATGCAAAGATGGATCAGCACCCTGACCAGGGGCGGCAGACAGAACCCTGTGAGTGGACACGTTCAATATAATGTGGAAAATATGATGACCAATGTGTGCCGGCACCTCATAAGAGCAAGAGGAACCTCCGGGAAGAGCTTCTGGAGGCGATGATGCCTCCTGCGTGGAGGAGAAAAGGAGAGCAATTGGCTGGGTAGAGAAGGGAGGGGAGGGCCTACCAGGCACGGGGAACAGTGTACACAGGAGCTCAGTCTGGCAGGAGCCTAGCAGTGTATGTAGGCAATGTGAAGCAACCGGTATTCTGGAGGGTGAACGGCAAAGCGGGGCAGGATGCAGCTGGATGCAGCTGGATGCATCCGGGGAGTGTGGACATCTGGCCGTGAGCCTCAGGAGAGCCCTGTGTCAGCTGTGAGCCTCAGATAAGTCATGCTGGGGGCTCAAGAGGCAGGGAGTAAAAAATGAAGGAAAACCAAAGGCAGAGGAAGGGACATGGGAACAGAGAAGTAGATGAGGGGTGACGGAGACAGCGGAAGGTGAAGGGAATAGGGGAGAGGTGGAGATATGGGGAGAAAGCTGGCAAGGAGAAGAGGGAGAGGCAGGGCCTCGGCAAAGAGAAGGGGCCTGTCCTTGCAGGTCCTTCGGGCCAACGGCGCCCACGCAGCACATGACCTGCTGCTCCTGGACGCACACGGCTTTGCTGGCAAGGACCCGGGCTTTACAACTTCAAAGTTTGTTCTTGAAACAACATGGAGATTTGTGCATGTGTGAAGGTCCCAGATTTCAGAAATTGACTTTGGACGTTGAGCGGCGAAGGCCAGTCTGCAGAGGAACCAGCCCATTCGATGGTGACAAGTACTTGATCTCGTCATTCCTGTTCTTTGAGAATGAGGGCTGCATTCTTGGCTCCCATGCAGTGTCCCCCCCATCCCCCCGAGAGAGCAACGGCAGCACTCAGGGCCTGCCACTGAGCAGCTACATGAGTGCAGGCAGGTGCTCTGTGCGTGTGTGTGTGTGTGTGTGTGTGTGTGTGTGTGTGGCGCGTGTCCCCACCGGAGAGCAGGCCTCGTGAGAGTGGGGATTATGTCGAATGGTCTTAACCACAGCATTTAGCTCAGTACCTCCCACAATAGCAAATGCTTAGTAAGGGTTTCCTGAATGAATTCTTTCTAGAGGCCACATGGCCCTTAGGGACAAGTGAAGACAGAGCTACAAAGAAAGGAAATGGGAAAGAAAATCTTCCTGTTTGATTAAAACGGATGAATTATGACTCACCAGTGATCCTTTCACTGGGTGAATGGACTACAGAGAATGCCTACGTTGTTCTTTGGCAGCTTTTGTAAAATGGACTCAAATCTAGCAATGGGTCAGTGACAAGATAAATATTTATTTTAAAAGAAAGCATCTACCTGTGGTACACACAACATACAGTACAAAGCATAAACTTATATAAGAATACTTAGGAGCTGAAAAATCATCTTTCCCAATGTCTTTTATTCCTTTTGAATTTACAAGGTTAAAGTCCTACAGAATATTCTATCAGGCTCTGTACAACAATGTCCTGTCCTGGCCTGTCCCATCTTGCAGAGGAAACAGTTCCCTGGGACATGCTGAACTTGGCTTAATACAGTCTAGGAACTCAAAGAGTTGAAACACACTCTCTATGCATTACACAATGCAAAGGAAATCTGTGCCAGAAGAATGTATTTCCAAATAGCACCGCATAAGTAGGGGCTTGTGTTTCTGGGGGGTACTGACGCTCTCTCCTTTTCTCTGTCACTGTCCATTCTCCTTCAAGGTAGGGAGGCCCTGGTTCCCAGGGATGAAAGAGAGGAAGGCAGAATAAAAAATGTCCAAAAAGGATACAAAAGAAAAATTTCCTGAAAATCTAATTTTCTATGGGAAATATTTTTTTTAAATATTGTTAAAGAAGATTGTTTTCCAGGGGATAAGCCATAGACAGCAAGGACTCACTTCAGCCGTCTTCCTATATAAGCCCACTTTTTCTCAGCAGCCATGGAAGATTGATGTTTGAGTGATTGAGAACGCCCCTTAAGTCTTTCTTAGCATCTTCTCCCCCATTACTTGCTTGAGTCTATGGCTCATCTAACAGCTACAACGCTCCCCTCCTGCAACTTCCTGCCACTCCAACAAAATGGGGGCCCAAAGTGGTGGTTCTGATTTGCTATCTTCCAGCAAGAATTAAGTCCCAGGATGCACCCATTAGCAATATTCAATGAAGCAGAGATTTAGAAGCTAATGTGTAATTTCACTGTTCAGACAGAACTTCTCCAATGGCACATGTTAAAATGGAGGAAAAAGAAGAATGTAAAATATTTCGGCCTGATCACACTGGAGCCTCCTACGTTTACATAGCAACCTCTATTTAGGGTTTGGTTGGAAATGTGACATTTGATGTCTCAGGGCCCAGGAGAGAGGGGGTGGGCGGGGGGAGGGGACAGAGAGACACAGATTGCCTGCTAGTAGCACTAGAGTATCAGTTTACTCACGATACATATTCCCGAGCCATCCTGACATCGATTGGAATGTCCGTTGCAATTGCAGGGAACACATCGTCCGGTATACAGGCCTTTGTTATCACGATAGTACCCAGGGCTACAACCCTATTTTTCAAACAAAGCATTTAGTCAATATAAAGAAAGAATTATTGGGGCTCCTGGGTGGCTCAGTTGGTTAAGCGACTGCCTTCGGCTCAGGTCATGATCCTGGAGTCCCGGGTTCGAGTCCCGCATCGGGCTCCCTGCTCAGC